ATTCATTCATGGATTTATGGCATTATAAGGCAGAATAGATCCCAGAGAAAACATTTTTTCAGATTTACCATTATTTTAACAGTATAAGCATTAATTATAAACACACAGAATACTCATGTAGGTTCACTGGTGATTTTGTTAGTAAATAAAATGTCTATATTTGTGTTGAAGACATTGTGACCCCTGGTTCCTATCACCACCACTGTAAAGAAATCTAAGTCAGTATTTTTTCTACAATGAACTATTTCGCATTAAAACACTCTGAATGTTTTTGTTTACATCTCAATGACTAAATTGACTAAACATAAGCATTTTTTAAAAATTGGTAGATTTCAGCCAGAGAACAGCATGATTCCGAACGTCTGTTGGATAATATCCCGGTTATTGTTGTCAAGTGTACATCCCACAATTTGCCAAATCACGTTTGACTCTTTTATCCATATGACTTTTTTTACATCTGTTGGTTTGACGTCAAATATCTCTATATGAATGCTAAGCTGGAACGCTACAGGAACCGAACTACAAATGTAAACGCACTTTTAAATACAGTCTCAGTCAAAGAGAAAGAGAAAGCCTCTCTTATCGGAATCATCAGAAGGGTTTGGAGCTTCCGCCACACGGTTACATGCCTACATTTCAGCTTCCTATTACAAAGCCTGAGGAATTTAGAGATCCCCCAACACATTCCTGAAGTGACCACTTCTTTTCCCTCGCTCCGTGCCCTCCTGTCATCTCTCCCTTCATCCTTTCGCTCCTCTCTGACACTCAGAGATGGACAGCATAAAAACACTGGAACAAATGAGGTCAGTCTTGTCATTCAATGCCCGTGGTTGCCATGGACGCTCAGGTGCACTTAAGGCGAGTGAATGTGTGTGCGTGTGTGGTTCATGGTATGTTTCAAGGCTAGAGTGCACAAATAGGTCAAAATGGCACTTGTCTGGAAGGGGAATGAATTCTGTAGGGGAAGAGGAAGATGTGGGTTTTAAAAACACAGTTTTTAGGATATTAATCAGACAGTGGGGGAGATGGTTGCATAAAACATGCCCGCAAGCATGTCTGTAGAAGAGCTCAACAGCAGAGGGAGAAGAAACAGTAGCTCCAACACGAAGAATGAAAGATAGAAGAAGATCTTAACCACTTACTCTTAACCTCAATTCCTCACTCAGAACTATATAACTTAGATATTTTCATTGGAGTTACCAAATTGACAGTAGTTACTAAAAGTCTTAAAGTCTGAGGGAACCTAAATTCAAGTTGTCTTTCTAATTAAGCTCATTTAGTTCTTGTGTGCACACAATATACATGTACAAAGTATGTCATATGGATAACTTTCCAATCGCTGTTGAATTTCACCAAAATTCTCCTCTTTCGATGTAAACTGGACAGTATAGTCTTGAATAAAGCTTACATTGTAGCACCCTCACCAATCACAGGGCTGATGTGGCTCCTCCCACCCACACAGCTTTAGCAAAATTGTGCTAACAATTGAGCAAAAGCTAACAACCAAGCAAAAGCTAACAACCGAGCAAAAGCTAACAACCAAGCGACAGCTAACAACCAAGCAAAAAACAACTGAGCGAAAGCAAACAACCAAACAAAAGCTAACAACCAAGTGAAAGCTAACAACTAAGCGAAAGCTAGCCCTGCTGAAAAACACCATCAGAAACCAAGATTAAAACCTAATGGCCTTGCCTTCTAATGGGAACTGGCTTAATGGTTTCCAAAACGTTTCCTGTATAGATTCCATTAGGAAACCATCAAATGCATTTAGATTCAGCCTGTCAAATCATTCAGATCCTTTACATTGTGATATCAACCCATTAAAAAAGCCAAAACACATCACGAAATCATCAGGAACCAACAGAAACACTTAATGGTTTCTATGGGTTTTTCAGCAGTGAACAACCAAGCAAAAGCTAACCATTAAGCGAAGGCTAACAACGAGTGAAAGCTAACCACCAAGCAAAAACTTACAACTGAGTGAACAAAGCTAACAAATCTGTCTGTCTGTCTGCCTCTCATCCATCCATTCGTTTGTTCACTCCTCCATTCGTCCATACTGGCATTCTCTGGATGCACATCCTGCTGTAACGTGAACAAGGACCTTTCTTTGTTTGTCGCCATGCAAATGCAACCAAGCGCATAATGGTTTATAACAACACCTGTACAGGTAGAGCCTGTTTCACTCATTTCTCCTCACTCGTGTTGTCGTGTTGTCGTGTTTAGTTCTGCTTCAGTGGTGCAGAAGCTTCAAGTGATGCACAGAAGGCTGTCAATCAAGCTCTCTCATTAGAATATTAGAACCACGCCTAGACAGTTCTCATATAGGTCTGATCAGTTTTATACCATGTTTTATTAAACTATGTTCTTTTCTTCAAATTTGATAGAGGTTGAACCTCTTAAATGGCCGGGGCCCAAAGTTTTATTACACACTTCTAAAACCTAAGAATAGCTGAGCCAGTTTGCACTGATGTCCCTGTAGTTACTGAATAATAAGCCTTAGTACATAATCAGCCTGGGATTTTAAGGAGTTAACATAACTCTCAATTTTAGTGTCACTAAAGATTAATAACTCAATAATAAGCTCAGAGTTAATAGGTTTAAACACAAGCAAGCAAAACCGGTTTTACAACCAGACCACAAGAGCTTAGAAATAATGACTAAATCGAGTGAGTCACTGACAGAGACATCTCTCATCCTTTCCACACAGTCGCGTACTTTCAGGAGCCTTTCTTGCGCTATTCACCTGCTCTATGTCCATGAGCTCATAGCCCTCTAAGCAAAAGGGCAGCAGGCCTGATCCACACCACAAATATGTAGAGCGGTGTGCAGAGCTACAGGGACTCATGGGAAGCTCCACAAGCCAGTACTGCTCCTAACTCACCCATACACACCCACACTCATAGGTCTCAACCTCTTTTACTCGAATGAAGTAAGTCTTTTACACAGTTTTGGAGGCACACAGATGGATATCACCTCACGTGAGAGATTTCTGCGTGAAATAAAATGGATAAGATGTAAATAAAGTAATTCGGAGCGGTTTAATGTGAAAAGTGCTGTTCTAGATAAGCTATCCGAGTCAGAATTGTTCACTGTGGTTGTGATAGGAACCAGACGACCAGTGTTTAATGCTCTCCTCTAAAAGTGACCTCATAGAAAGTTATTAACCAAATGGCTACAAATATGCAGCCTGGTGTCTGAGACATTGTTTTATGACAGTTCTGAGATATGATTTTGAGCTACTACGTACATATATATATATATATATATATATATATATATATATATATATATATATATACAGGGTCGAGAGGTGCATGGAGGTCACTGTAAGGCAAAATAGTCTAATTAGTCTAAATCTAATTCCTTAGATTTATTACTATTTTACCATGATCAACATATAAAAACTCATAAGACACTTGTCTTATGTGGGTATAATTATTAGTTATTGGTAGTTATTAAAAACCTTTGTTACTATCACCACCCCTGTAAAGTGATTCTACAATAAAGTTTCTCTACAATGCAGCGTTTCTCATCAACCAATCTGAATGACTTTGTTTACATCTCAATGATTTAATTATGCAGCAATTTCAAAAAATCGGTGGAATTCCCCTTTAGGGTGAAGGCTTCTGTTTCAGTCTTTAGGGCTGTAAATGGTCACACTTTTACATGACTACATGTTGTTACGCTAGCCTAATCTGATAATAATAAGTTAAAAATGAAAATAATACAGAATACCCAGTATTAACATGGCAATGCTAACAAAAATAGATTGTTAATTGATTCTCTGGACTCAAATCCTTAAAATTAAAGTTCAGTCTCTGGGCTTTGTGACTCAAATGTGACTATCAGTGAGTGAAATACCAGCGAAAGTACACCACATCAAAACATTTGTTCAAACCTCAAGGACTGAATTATGCAGGTCATTTGAAAAGTTGGTGGTATTCCCCTTTCATTGTGTGTTAATGTAGCTGTTGAGCTGTTAAATTAAATACTAGTACTAATATTGCTAGAGTACAAAACCAATACTGGAAATACTCATTATAATCTGTGAATATAAAGATCACAGACAGTGTGTGGAGCTGCACACCTGTGCACCGTGGCTGCTCCTGTACTGATCTGCTCCATGCAACACGCTCGTGCACGCGCGCGAGTCAGGGGCGCGCGCTAACTCCCTCAGCTGTGTGTGTGGTGGGAAAGTTTCCACGCTGTCTCGTTTCGTTTCCTCGCCGCGGAAAAAAACAGAAAGAGATGAAGCGACCCGAATAAAAAAATGTTCCTAAAAGGGAACTCAGCTACATATGGTTCTCCAAGGGTTCTCCGTTAAAGACAATGGTTCTATTTAGAACCAATGAGGTCTATGTAAACCGTTTTCATGCCTAAATGGGTCTTTGTATGGATAAACGGTTCTTCAGACTGATGGAGAATGTGCTGTGTGTGGTTCTGTATAGGGCTCTGCCATAGTCACAATGTCAAGCATAATAGAAGAACCCTTATTAGCGCAATAAACGCTACTATACAGAACCATAAACACATTCTCATCCATGCGATGCTTCCACACAGAACTCATGGTTCTAAACAGAACCGTTCCCTTCACTAAAGAACCCCTGAAGAACCATCTTTTAAGTGTGTCAGAGCTCTGAGAGTTCTGGTTGTATCCCTGAATGCTGCGAATGAGAGCGCCCAGTCAGCGCCGGCAGCTTCAATGGAAAGACTGACCGTGAATGGTCAGGACTGCAGCTCCACTGATAAACGAGCCAGAGGAGATGAGTGTGTGTCTGTGGGGTCTATGTGGAGCTACATAGCCGTAAATGCCCTCACATACATCAGCCACAGAGCTTGACCATCTAATAAAACCAGTTAACATCAGCAGTGACCAGATAAAAGAGCGCAGTCTCTGTCCTCTCATCACTTACTGACCACATTCTTCCACACTAGGCAGCGACAAAGGAGAACCGAAGCATCACAGAGAGGGGGCTGAGAGAGTGAGGGTCTCCTACCTGGCTGGAACATACTTTGGAAATAAAAGATGACCAGAATGCACGATCCCAAACAAGTGGCCAGCGCCATCCGGCAGATCCGACTCATCCTCATCAGGTCCAGGAGCGTCTGTTTCATGGCTGGCGGAGGGAGGCTGAGCGGAGGCGCTGAGAGAGCGGAGAGCTCCGTGTCCGCGTCCGCGCCGATGCTGCCTGCTGGCTGGCTGAGCAGCGCCGCTGCCGCTGTGGCCGCCTCTCTGAGCGGAGGGCCGTCCCTGGACTGTACTACTGCTCTCCGCCCGCCGGCCTGCGGGGGGCGCCCCGCTCTCAGGTTAGGCCACCCCCCTCGCTGCGGCCAGAATGGGCGCGTCCACGAGGCCAGCGGCGATCAGGGGAGGTGTTCTTTTCTTTTTTTTTATTATTGTAAAACAGTACAGACACAAAAACATCCAGAGAGCCCTGCTGATAAAAACAAAGAAAACATCAAGCAGCCTATTTCTGTTGGTTCCTGGGGGTTTTGTAATGTGCTGCCCTGATGGAAAAAACACAGTAGCACATGTGTTTTGGATGCTGATCTGCTGGTCAGCAGCAATGAAGCTTAACATGTTGATCACCAGTAGAAGCAGCATGGAATGGGATGGACGGTGGTCAGCAGGGTGATGGGTTGATATCACAGTGTTAAGGATACTAATGGTTTAACAGGTGACCTGTGATTGATTCCAGATGCATTTGATGGGTTCCTAATGGGGTCAAAAGGTGTCCTAAAGGAATGGTAACCATTAAGTCAATGACCATTAGAAAGCACAACCATCAGGTTTTGATCCTAATGGTTCTAATGGTCGTTTTTCAGCAGGGTAGGCACCAGAAAAAAATCAATTCAGTTCAGTCAATGCCATGTCAAAGCGTTCTTCAAGCTTGAATATATTAACTAGATATTAAAGCTCACCTTTACCAAATCATTATATTATATTATATTATATTATATTATATTATATTATATCACGTAATTGTAATGGAAAAAGTATATTTTATGTATGTTTCAGTATAGATATTATATTATATTATATTATATTGATTAGTAGAACTTTTCTTTTTTTAAATGGAAAACAGTATATATACCAAAACATTGAGAGAGCCCTGCTGAAAAAAACATAGAAAACATTAAGTAGCCTATTTCTTTTGTATAAAAAATTCATGATGAATGGACCAACAGAAGTGGTCCAACATTACTTGGAAAAAAATTATTTATCCATTTACTTCCATTAAAAGTTAAGAACATTTGTCCTCATTCTCTAACGTTTACTTTTTGGAGATACGAAGTTTTGTTCTGACAGCAGCGATATTATATTATATTATATTATATTATATTATATTATATTATATTATATTATATTATATTATATTATTGCAATGGAAAGTATAATTTTTAGTAGTTTCAGTACAGACTAAATAAAAGTTGTATTAAAGGTGAACTGCACCAACTTTTCAAACTTTCTGCTTAATTAAATAGTTAAGATGTAAACAACATCATTCAGAGTGGTTTGATATGAAATGCTCCATTCTGGAGAAAATTAGTTACAATTTTTCACAGTGGTGGTGAAATTAACTGGACTCAAAGTGCTTAATGCCTCTAAAGGCTCCTTCACAGAAAGTTATTACATAAAATGCTTATGAATATGCTGCCTGATGCCTGGAACATTGGTTTACCCTAATTTTAATAAGACTTCAGCTGAAAATGCATTTAAAATCCATTTATGGCAGAGAGGGACAGGCAGGGCATTGTAAGGCAGAATAGTTCCCCCAACACCTTTTTTCAGATTTACTACTATTTTACCATCATCAGCATTACATTTAAAGCTCAAAAGATGCATATTGGCTCACTGGTGGGTTTGGATTGTAAATAAAATGGCTGTATTTGCAGTGTATACGTTGTGATTCAGGTTCCTAGTCTGTACATTTTAGTACAGACTAAAGAAATGTTTTCTTTGGGAAATAAAAACAAAGTCTCAGGGATCAGGTAGTGTATTCATAACTATTTTATGTAATAACCTTCTAAGGGAGCATTAAATGCTTTGGATGTTTAGTTCCTTTCACCACCACGGTGAACACGTTTCAGTAAAATCAGGCATTTCACATACAACTACTATGAATGACTTTACATCTTAACCATTTAACTAGGATAATTTTGAAAAATTGGTGGCATTTTCCTTTAAGCAGAACTGGCCCATTATTTAATGTCACCATTATAATACTCTTATGCATACATATGCATAAAAGTAATATTATAGTGTTATTACAGAACACATTTTTCTGTCCTGAATTCCAAAAGCAGTCCAGGCCTAAACACTCCTTACACCTTTAGCGGCACCTATATAGTAAGTGGAGCTGATAAATGAGTGTAGAAACGTGTGTATATACATATATATATATATATATATATATATATATATACATGTTTCTACGCTCATTTATCAGCTCCACTTACTATATAGGTGCCGCTATATATATATATATATATGTTGCTTTAATGTAAGTCAATGGAGCCAGACTTTTTTCCAAGTCATTTTGGGCCGTTTTTTTTTTGGTCCATTCTTCATGAAATTTACACACAAGGTAAAGAGCAACAGACATTGTCAAATTATGTAAAAGTTTCAGTTCCAACAGCAGTGATATATATATGTATACTATATACACTGTATGGACCAGGAAGTGAACAGTATGTTGTCCATGATATGGGTCCTACGTCTCACCCAGATCCGAAATAAGCCAGTTAAAGCAATATTAAGAATTAGCTGCTCTGACTTGATGGTGTTTCATGATTTTATGCATACTGTTCAGTCAGATTTATGGGTACAATGACAAATGGGGAGACCAGACCAGAGAATAATGGCATAATCTTTAAAAATGTATATGAGTCTACTCAGGGCAGACTCCTTTAAATCACAGGGAAGCTGCAAGACCAGGTTTCATTTCTCACTCATACATCACGCGCCTACCCGGAGCGGAAGAGAAAAGTGGAGTGAGCAAATTTGAGAAGTGAGATTGTGCCAATGAGATGCAGCCGTGCTCTCAGGCCATGAGCGAAAGCTTGCGCTGTCTACTCAATGATCGCACTGTGCACTGTGCAGAGTACATTCTGTATGCAGAGCTGAGTGGAAGTGTTGTAATCCAACTCCATGACCACTGACCATTGATTAGGCTGTATGAGGTCATGATTATAAAATGTCTAATTCCTACTGACAGCAAAATTATGATTATCACACCTCTCAGCCAACCACCATCATCTCTAAACATTCCTTCCTCCGACAAACGAAGGAACAACTCCTAACCCTGAGAACAAGAGGATAGTGGACCACTGTTGGTCCGCTGATGGCAAAGGTGGCGGTCCACTGGCGTTTTGCTCAGCGTCTTCCAGGTGGCCCACCAGTGGTTAAGCAGAGTATTGGACAAAATTTCACTTTTCCACTCACAGTTCAGTTTAATTATTTTTCCATTCTTCCTTTCTTTAGTCATACTTTGTAAATTAGTTTAGTAAATCATTTTAATCTAGCACAGTGTCAGCAATAATTTCTATAAAATCATTTGATATTAGGCCTAGTCATAATTTTTTTCTCTCAGAAGTTTATTTTTTAAAATAAAAGGCTATGTGCATTTTAAAAAATCTGTATGTGGAGATTAAAAACTAGTTAGATCTTGTAGGCAGGACAATAATCTGGGTGGTCTGAGGGTGGACCAGCAGTGGCAGTCAGGTAGGTGCCGACCTTATCAAGCCAGTGGACCAATATAAGCTTACTATCTGGGAAAAAAACAAACCTGCAATGAGAGCGGTGCTGGCACTAAATTAGCCAGAATTATTAGACTTAGAAATGGTGGAAAGGTGCTACTGAAAAACATTTAATGCCTGACTCACTCTATCCTGAGTATCTGGAGAGTGGAGCTGTTTTAGTCCTCTCTGAAACTAAAACAGTTTTGGTGTAAACTCTGTGGAAGGTCAAACTCAGAGCTCCAAGACAGAATTATTAACAGGCAGTCGGAAGAAAACCTTGAATCTGTAAAATGGTAACTTTACAGAAAAAGGAAAAAAACATTTTTATTTTTAATGTAAGTCAATGGAACCAGACATTTTCCCAAGTCATTTTGGGCCGTTTCTTTTGGTCCATTCATCATGAAATGTACACATAATGTTAAGGGCAACAGGCATTTTCAAGTTATGTCAAAAACTGAAAAACAACAAAAATGGAGATACAAGGTTTTCTTCCGACAGCAGCGATATGCTAACTCTAAGCTTAGCTAAACTTTGGGTTTCTGTAGTTGCTAAAAATTATTAATATGATGTTTATTGATAACATTACAGAACGATGTTAAGATCTGTTAGCTAACTAGTTCCTTTCAACTTAGCTGCTGACAGTTAGCATAAATCAGATTAAACAGGGCTGCACAGCAGTGACTAAAACACAGTGTAAAGATGTTAATGTACCATTCTTTGTACTGTTTTATTACACTTTGCTGAAAGACCTTGTGAAAATACATTGAGTCAAAATAACAGTTCTGACCAGCTCCTGTATTAGCTTTACCTTTAGCTCATAGCTTCCTCATTATCAGACATGTTCAGAGGCTAAAAGGTTTCTCTGGTTTGAATAGTAGTTTCCAGAATGCTGTAAACATGCTCAAACATGTAGGCCTGCGCTGAACATCCTGTAAAACCAGTTTCGATTTGTTTCAGATTTGCTCCTCTGTGTACTTCTAAATCTTTGTTTGTGCTGCTGAGATAAGAAGTCTGTTAGCGCAACTGCTACGGATGCCACCAGGTTGCTCAAGCTGAAAGTTTGCCGGACGTTGCAACAATAACTACAGCAGGGCTTTCTCAGTGTTTTGTGAATGATCAGTTGTAAAGTCTGATTTGAAGATTATAAAACCCAATTGAACCTTTAAATCTGTTATAAAATACTCAAAATAAGCAGAGATATGGATACACACATCGACTGAATTCTGGATTAGTGTATAAGCTTATAAAAACCATTGTGCTGTAAATGGTTCATGGAATAATCTTCCTGTTAATCTAGAGGAGATTGAAGTTATGAGTGCTTGAAGGGTAACAGATTTTGGGAAACGTCTGTGCTCTTGCCAGTACCTGAAGACTTTCGGTCGTCAAGGTAATCAAATGATCTATTAGTAGTAAGTCGAGGTGACTGGACTAAT